CGCCTTGTATGTGAGGCGTGCGTAGTATTTGCTATAGCCACCATAGTCTGATAAATTTTATGTTTTGATGTAGCTATTCAGTTTCGTTGACAAGTATTGGTTTACGCACAACTTCGATGAATGCAGCTGTTAGACCAACTGACTTATGCTGTGCCGTAAGTCCTTGGAGGTTTAAAGAAGGTTTAAAGAGGTTAAAGTAGTTTCCGGAATGGTCGATTCTAGCAACCGCAGTTAGAGGATGCTGTTGCTTTGTACTAATAAACCTTTAGTTTCCTAGAATTTGTAAGTGGAGCTGTTACTGACACTGATTAGCCTGTTTCGCGCAGAGGCTGACAGTGCATGTGTTGGCTTCTATCACAGATACAGTGGTCAAGTTTTTGTTGCTCTGTCAGCACTTTCAGGCCTTTAGCCCGAGATAATAAATGTGCAGGGTGGGATTAAGTTCCTGAAGCACGACTTTACTTTTACAGGGTGCGAAACGCATGCCGAAACATTTACAACACTTGTTGTGCAGACGAAAGATCGCCGAAGATTGAGACAATTATGTCTACATATTTCACGCTCACCAGACTTTATATGGGTACCATTTCGATTCCTATATTCTGCCCCTACTGAATGTATACTTCCCAAAATAAGTATGCAGAAATTTGAAGGAAGATGAGTGTGCTGACAACCACCAAACCCTACTTGCTGATAACAAGCTTTTCGCCTACTAATCGTGGATTCTTACGTGCCCATATGTGTTTAAATAGAGAACCTTCAAGGGAGTTTTCTTTTTCCAACTATATTTCGCACTGCTCATGTACTAGATGTAATGTAAAGGTTTGATCACTACACCTCCCCCCTGGTAGAAAAGCCATTTACCATGCCAGTGGAATTCGCGTCTCACTAACGTAGTTATGCAAAAACTTAGGCGGGAGAATTATTTCGCTATCTTATGAGTGGTGAGCTGAACTGTCGCCAAATCTGACATCAGCCTGAAGCCTGTGGAACTTCATTGTTTTCATTGGCCTAGCCTTATTCTATTTAGGACCCGGAGAAGCAGTGCTGAAAGCCAGATTTTCAAAGTAGGCGAATCCCCCCACGATGATCAATTAAAGGTGACGGCATGCAAGTGTTATACTTCATTTCACAGTGTGGCACGATAAGCTTTCTACATAACTCTCACGCCATCCTCCAATGCTCCAATGAAGTTTACCTGCTAATTAAGCTCTAGCCACCCCTTCTACCCGCTTGAAGGCTATCACCCCCTAAATGCCAAATGTAGCCCTGCTACAATCGTAATGCAGCTATGGGGAAGGTACGTACGACGCCAGCGGTAGAGTTTTATATTTCGCCATGGGCGAAGTAAATGGTAGAGAGTTAACGGGAAACTTTTAAGACACAGAAGCTAACGTGGGTCTTTTACGAAACATAGCAAAAGTTTTTGTTAATGTGGAGATTCAAGATAGAAGATTTCTGGTAAACCACTGGAGACGTTTCAAGCTGAAAGTGCCGAATGGTGACAAATCGAATATTAGCTCTTAACAAAATCAATTTGTGTGTCATGTTGCAATATGTGCAAAGGAGTAGATTCTCCAAGTCCAAATGACTATGATGAGTGAACTTCCTGTTAATCTGCAAATAAGATGTCACAGGATGATCACAGAAACGCGATCAGTGCAACAGCCCTTCGACTTGAATTCCAATCTATCCGGTTGAAATCATTTGGTTTTAACAAGGTAACAAGTCATATTGTTCTGACTGTCAGTATGCGTAATGTAGCTTGATTTTCTGTCCGATTATATGTGTGGATGTTAAGCAGGCTTGGCTTTTGTCATTTGATTGGTGAGGCAAGCACTAGGTGAGACCTCGACGGTAACTCAGACCCCTTCATCGACTGAAAAATCATTTTGAGCAGCACTTTAAGTAAAAGCATGTTCCTTTTCCAATAAATTGCCCAGCTTCCTCAAAGTAATGGATGGCACTCCTTGTTCGGCCTGGAAATTATAGTTTATATGGACGGTATACTGATGTTAAGAACGTTTTGCAGTTTTCTATTATTTATGAGTGGAAAAAACTTGGCTACCTTCAGCTATTGTAGTTAGTCTAGTTGGTTAATTTAGTTGATTTATTCACTCGTCATTGATCTGATTCCATAAAACTAATTTACCTCCTATTCGTTGGTCATAATGTACCGCGCATCACGAAAAAACTACCCATCCTGATTCTTTTCGATCGGGCAATTTTTTTAAGCTCTCTCATACAGACAACAAAATATACACAAGTCTGAAAGATAGCGGGAGTAACGATAGTTATCATACCTATGAGCCATCGTGAAGTTGCCTACGAGAAGAAACTAGACTTTTGGCGTGGCACAGCAACTCAGTGAGCTTTACTGGCGGATGCATATTCAACTTCCACGTAGTCTCTCTTAACAGGTTGGTAAATGGATAGATGTCCCAACAAACACCGTTTTCTGGCCTTCCCGGTCGGGGTGTAGCAATATGTTCCCAAAAATTTGGGCTACCCGAGTAATCCCATGCTGCTGATTGTTACCTTGTATTCAGACTTATGAACCAAGGGCTTTGGTTGAGAAACCTAATCGTCCTTCTGTTCGGGTTCGAGCGTTTCGATGTAATCTCTTGGCGGTTCACATGAACATAACGGATAAAAGAACCCGCATGCTATATTAGGCGTCAAGTGGTGAAGTTAGCCGGTTCACGTTATTCTGTGCACAGCAGATGCAACCCATGACTCTTCCCATCTCTTTTCATTGTTATCTCTTAACACCGGTCCTCCCTCACTTGACACCGTTATGTGAGTACTAGTCATGTATTCAAGAGAATTACACACGGCACGCCTTTGTTCTGCTCTGATCTCGCCATTCGTGTTCCGTCGTCTTTTTATTGCAGTATTTAGTGTGGAAAATCTCAGGTAGATCGGTCAACTAGATGCCTTGGTACGTAGTCTGGACAGTCCATCGACTGACATCTACCACGTAACTGGACATTCACTCCAGAATACAAGTACAGTTGTTCAGGTCACGGCACTGCCTAACTAGACGCTACAGATTCCGCACTTCTGGTGATCTTGTAGCTGCTGCGGCAGGTTGCACCGGTTCGTACAGCCCGTATCTCATGGGCGCGGCTTTCACTAGTCATCTAAACAGCATTGTTGTGTGGCAGCTAAGCGCTAGTAATTATGCCTGGTGTATTGATCTCAAGGGTGGGGACGACGATCACCGTTTGGGAGGTAAAATCCTGGCAGAGTCGTTTGATCTTCTCAGTTTGAAAACCTGTCTGGTCAAGGCATGTGAATTCTAGCTTTTTTATGCTTACAGTTGAATGATGCCGTAGCATCTCGTTTGAAAATGTGCTACGTTATTTTGGTCTGAGTACCGCTTGCCAACTAAGATCAGTAGCGTAAAATAAAGCCATGTACCTGGAAACTGGTTTTGAAACATGAGCGCTGATTAGTTAGCTCGTGCTCTTTGCACGAATGACTGAATCCGGGCTGCTCCTCACTACTGAATTCACCGGCAAAATTTCTTGCAATTTTTGGGACATTTTGTTGTTTACAGGTGTGGTACTTTTGTCTGCTTTCGGTTAATAATGTTCGAACAAGAGCCCGTTGAGTTATATTGAGTAACTATGTGATCGACGCCTTAGCGATTTCCTTGGCCAGAAGTTGTGCTTAGGTGTGGGGGGATCTGCACACGGCCAACTAGCCTATTAGGCCCATCTGCTTATCAATCCTGACACAAATACCTTGCAGAAAATCCAAAAGGAGAGACGGAATATTATTCACCATTTGTTGTTCCGTGAACAGAAAAGGTGAAAAATACGTCACTCCAATCCTTTTTTAGGTACATGGGCATCAGTTGTGTATGAACACAGGTAACCAGATGATATACATTAACCAGTGTGCACGGTTTGAAAATAGCAATCCGTTGCGGCGTAAGACAGTTTGAGTATTGCAAGAAACTAAATGGTCAATGACAAACATACTAAGCGTTATGATTCATAGCGGGTATACTTGTGCGTAGAACAAGAGTCGAACACATATCTGGAAGAGGGAACAGGACTGTCCTCATTAAGTATGATAACATATGCATCAGTACGGCGTTGGATTAACCGTAGAAGTGCAAACGGAATAGCTGTCTAAGATCACTTCGAATAAAGCTCCATTATCTAAGAATGTCCTTATTATAAAGACCAGCTACTGGTGAATTGTGGTGATGAAAAGAACTCACAACTTGACCTTCAAACCATTAGATAAGTAGGTTAGGAAGCCAAATACTCATACAGTCTCACTGCACACGTTGAAAGTGATAGCCGTAAGCTTCATTTCGGGTTTAGCTTGTCAACCACCATGTACAAAGTTGAAGCTGGCTCAGGCTGAGTTTTTCTTCACAGATCACTGGACAAATTCACGTCAGATGCCCATCGATCCGTAGAGAAAACCACTGGATATTTCAGCTTGACTGCAATAATGTCGTCGGCGCCATGCCTTGGTCAGGTCTACCGGCGTGAAGAAAATTAGCGTATTATCAGCGTGTAAAACGATGTACTAGCCAGATGACCAACCGCAGAAAAGAGGCTCTGTTCCAGAATACTCTGTGATGATATCCAGTTTTTTACGAAATATACGGTTTGTTATTTTGCATCAGTAGTAGATTATCAGTAGTAGTATAAGTATCACGAAGGTTCATCAATCTAGCGCCAAGACCACAAACACGAAACCCCGATACAGATTCAGAAACCGGTAACATTAAATGATGACAAGATACTAATGTAACATGTACTTGGTAACGTCCTATTTTCAAACCGGAGGTCACTTTTAAAAGTTGAGCGTTAATTTGCCTAGGTAGGCTTCCGCTATTACGATCGCAGACAACGCAAAAACAGCGATTGGTCGTCTTCACATAATCCGTTATCGCTTATTATGGACACGTCAATATGAGAAAATATAAGGTAGAAGTAAAAACAGGTGCGGAACGCTTCTTCCGTCCTACATACCTCTATCCGCGTGTCGACCAGCCAAAGCCTGAAGTGGTTTCACAGGAATTTCTCGGTTGTTGATGATCCAGGTGAAACTTGGCGCCGGGCTACCGCCCACTGTGACGCACAGCACAGTAATACGCACGATAGGATCGGGCTGTGAAATAATCAGCTGATTATCGGGTGGCGGAACGTCCGGGTACAAGATTCGAGGAACGGAGGGCTTTACTGTGAAAAAGTGGTTGAAAAGTGATAAGGAAAGGGGATGTTCGACAAAACCTCATACCACATAGTGGTAAAGAAAATAACCCAAATAATGTCACCTCGCGTCATAGATGAGGCTGTGTACTTATTCACCCTAAATCGAACACAGTGAGATTCAGAAAGCGGCCAGTTGCACGGGTCTCTTGAATCCAGCTATTTAGAACACAGCTATGTTAGGGCAAAGCTTGTCCGACAGATACGACTCTTGTATCAATAATCATTCTTTTTAGCTGCACGTCGTTGGTAGTGACACGTTTACTATGAATATTTTGGGCCTTGAAAAACCATAAGCATTTTTACCAGCAAGCTTCTGCGTGTAACATAGAACAGACGTGAATGATGTAAACTTTCGTACGTACTTACGCTTTTCCGGCGGGACTATTATCAGCAAGACCATATCTAGCCTTTTTTGTTCTTTCGGTTTCTAAAGAAGCTTCCCATCGCTGAGGACAATGTCCTTTGTGCAGAAACTGACGGTAGTTTGAGTTGAAATTGTGGATTGGTGCAGATAAAACTGTGGTTAAATGTTTCGCATGAATATATATATATATATGTATATATATATATATGTAGTATAATACTTATGGTGGATTTGGTGTGTAGTCATCATCACCAATAAAAGAAATGCGCAATAAAACTGGTGAATGAGATTTTCGCATACTTGACTTCGGCTCTCATTGCGAACTTTGACATCTGCGCACTTACTGATGGAACATCGAGTCCACATGACAATACCTCTGACAACCATCTGCTTAACAAAACCCTAAAAGGACTTTGTGAAAACTTGGAAATGATGAATAGAGAAATGCTAGTGTCTGAGTTGATGATGGATAGATTAAGAGCACAAGCCATGGGAACACGTTCTGTTACTAGCACTTAGCTAGCTAGTAACCCAGCAACAATAAGCTTCGTACTCGGCAATAAAGTCTACCTACAAAGAATTTGCCAACAAACGGCACTGGGCTGTCATTCGAGGGTGTGAAAATCATGTGTACATGCGTATATGTGAATTTTTTTGTACTTGTGTGTCACGCTGTGTTCAGGTTTATCACCTAGACTTAGGAGTGCACCTTCGACTCTTTTACAGCCTGTCCTGGTGAACTGGACTGGAGGACAGATAAGGTGATATTAAAGTGTCTTTTGAGAAAAGAAGGCACCAGGTAAATGGACACTGACTTAATAAGCCGTCCTCGTTTGTACATCGAGAGAGAAAGAGACGCTATCTTGAATCACTGGCTATTTACGTGACACCTTCGAGCTTCAAAATGCCTAGTAATATCGAGTTCCTGATGTCCAGTCCGGATTCATTCAGCGCACGAATGCATGTCAACACTGAGAGGCCGCATGTGACCTGACCATTCAGTCTCAGGTCAACCAGTGTAACACAAAACGAGACGCGCAGTCACAGAACTGCTGGCAGAAAAACCGTTCAAGTATTGTTGCGATGCCAGACATTTTTCCCTTGATAACTGCTAGTCTCAGGGTTTGCTAATTCGAAAATTTTAATTTACGTTTTACTCTCCTGTATTTTTATTTTCAGCCAACGAAGCACTGCACTCAATCTCCTCCAGCTCTTTTCATTTCAATTCTGGACTCTACTGTGGGAGTGTAAAGATCTAAGTTTTTCATCAGGCAGGAGGAACATAGTGCTTCTTATACTACTGGTGTGTTGGAACTCAACTGTTCGATTCGCTGCTTTTATCATCTCAGACAACATCGTCACTTGAATGTCAAACTTATTTCCATTTCGATCCTTCACCAGTTTAATAGTTATGAAGCTTTAAAAGACGTTATTATCATTGGGGTTACTAATCTTTTCTACAGGACTGGATTAACCGTCAAACGAGCTGAAGGCTACATATATATTACTTAGCTCTATTCTGTATACAGATGCCGTGGTGTGTCAAACAAATGAGAACCACTCAATTTCACTCACGTTTTCAATCCCTTGAGACTATGCGCGGCAAGCTGAATAAAAGCCAGTGTCTTTCCTGGAAGGCGGTGAATTAATAAGTTACAAAATTTGACGAATTAAAAACAACAGGAACTCGAAAGAAACAGAAACCGTGTTGGTGAATGCACCGCGTCAGTTAGGTTTCTCAAGGCGAAGTTTTGACACGATTGATTTTTCTAAACAAGGATGGTCCATATATTGTCGTTCCAGGCGTCAGACAGAACGACATATGCTAGTGAGGACTGTGAGCCTGTCAATCTCCTTAGTCGAAATAACTCACGTGTTTATAGCATAGAAAATGGTCGGGGTTAAAATTCTGTGTAACCCTAATCAGTCCTAGGATGATCGATATTCCATAGAACTCTGATTTTCTGTGAAGCTACTAGAACCTAAATTTCACGGCAGTTTTAGGTCGGTCCATGGAAATCGTTACTCGTTACACATACAACCACAGGGGCAAGGAACCCACATACAGCATTGCACTATCTACGTGATATGTCAGGTGACAGAAATGGGCTGAAGCTGAGGTTAATTTAACATGCTTGCATTTGATGTAGTATGGTGTTGCCGTTTTTGGACATTGGCCATCTCAAGGTGTGCATAGGACTCTGCTTCTGAATGGTCATTATAAAACTTGAAATAGCCTCACAATTACTTGAATGCGCTTTCTGCTGCCCCCCCCCCAATAACTGTCTTTTTAACCTTCTTTAGCATCTGGTTTGATCGTATGTATGCATATGGCTATACCAACAGTTTGGATCGTAAATCAGTGGAGGCAACGCTGGGCAGTATGCATACCATGGTTATGCACTGCACGTTGGGTTGCTGCGCACCGGTATGCCCGTAAGAATCAGTATGCTGACGGGCCGTTGCACGAAATCCATGATTACACCTACAATTTAATTAATTAATTTTCTAAGTGAAAAGGAAGCTCACATTTGCCCCTCAGGAATAAGGAGGGGGTTGTGTTCAATTTACTATAAACAAATTGTCCGGACGCTGGTAATTTCGGTGTATCGAAGTCTACTTATTGCAACTGGGTGTGTACTAGTTTCTTGCTTTGAAGGCTTCTTGAAACGAGACCCTCCCGAGTACAATCGTGCGCTTGTGCACGGTACTCAGCAATTTTATTCATTCACACTTAGAATTAGCATCGTTTAGTTACTTTTTATCTATCAATAAGTTTACATAAAACATCATGTTCACCACAGCCTTATAAGTCGCACACGTATAATGACGGTCCTCAAGGCGTCCATTTGTTCATAAGATAGCCTCCAGATAACTTCCTGTTACCTCTCGCAGCAGCGAAGTTTCTGAGAAACTGCCAGCTGGAATACATGTAATTTCACTGCAAAAACTCCAATACAGACCGACATATATCAAAAATTGTCTGTTCATTATGAGATGGATGCGGTACAAGCGACAACAGTCGCGTATATACTCATACTGTCAATTAGCTTTCTAGCCACCGAAAACTTGGATAGCACACTGGGTCATACATCGCCTAGCCGTCGTATCTAGAGCTTGGTAGTCATTAAAAGTGGTCGAGAACATTCACCCGTGATTGCTTGCAAACGAAAATGGAATGAACCATTCGGGTACTGAAGTGGGAATAAAGTGTGAACGCAGTTGCTTTATGTCAAAAACATTTTTTTGAATGTCTTGGTGGTCTAATTTTAAATGACTACAGATGAACTTATTGTGAATATTGGCCAGAAAGGCCACATCAATCGAGGAAGTTCCGCTTAAGTGCAGCATACTGAAAATCATATTGGAATAAGGTACCAGAGTATATGCTGTGTTGCGCGGGATTTACTCAGGCAGTAAAAGGTTCCAGTGAATTCGAGAATGCACCCGAAACAGTTGAAGATAATAATACCCGAATGAACAGGTCACCAAAGTTACATGTAATCAGACTAACAGGTTTGTAGAACAAGATTCACCTGGATGAGTACGTTTTGAATTAGGTGAAGCTTGACTAATCAGTGGTTTACGATCTATCCGGGAAAGGAGGTGCGCAAAACTAAATTGCCTGGTGTCGCATGATCTTAATGTTTCGCAATGTCTGGCGGTATCGACACTGAGTAGTAAATGCCGTACTTTTTCCAAGCGACCACTGATGGTCGACGGTGATGAACTTAGGCTTGGGGGATGACAACTATATCAGGGAACACTCTTTGAGGGATGCTCAACATCAATGTGCTCGCATGGCACCATATAACTAACCTATTCGATTTAGGTTATTAAGACTTCCAGTGAATTCACTCATAGTACTTACGTGAGCTTGGCGAGGCAATGAATTCACTGCGGCTACCAGCACTTGGCAAACAAGGGTATCTTTTTCACGATATCGAAAATTGAAGTTTCTTTGCACGGTATCTTATGTCTCAAACCCCAAATGCCTAGTGTTTTTGAATGCGTGTTGTAATTTATAAACTTTTATCAAGCTTGATTAATCATGGTTCCTGTTAATGTAAATGAAAAAAGTCACCGGAAATGAATGCAACTGCAACCAGAATAAAGAGCTATTGATGACCGATTTATTCTATAAAGTGTGTCGAAATAACCAGGGAATGAACCCGGCTTTTGGCTGAATCCACTGTACCGCTATTTTTCAACTTATTCCACAACTTGATCAACATTCAGTTAACCAGAATCAAACCACGTAATTTTTTGCTATCTTCTGACTTGGGTCAACTAATGGGGACAATTTACGATGAAGTCAGTCAACTGTATGAAGTTTGCACTAACGCGCAGATTAAATAAAATGCCTGAATTGCAAATGCGTACGCTGCTCGATTATTTAGCTAAACTTTCAATCATCATCAACAACAACTCGTGTGAATTCAACCGCATCGGGATAGGAAAATGAGCTGGGCTCACACTCTCCTGAGTGAAAATCACTTTTTCTTTGCAGAGTAAATCAGATTAACAACAACGCCTCTAATTTGTCACACAGCGCAGTGCTCGCCAAAAGTGTTCAGGCGAATGCGCATGTTAGCAATTTTCACGTCTACCATATTCCTCCTCCCTGCAAGAACCAGATGGTTGCCCGGCAGCTGTCTCTCAGTCGTGTCCGTGCAAAATATCCGCCCCAGCCTGTCTCTACTGAAAACTGCTATTTTAATCACCAGGTTTCTCTGTCTCCCCGTGTTGTGTGGCAGTGGAAGTTTTTGTGACTGCGACCGAAGTCACTCACACACCGAGTAGAAAAGCACACATCTGAAATACCAAGTAATCCACTGGGACATCAATCATCTAATCCGTTCTGTGTAATATGGCTTGATTGCTGCCATTATAAGTGCAGTTGAAATAGTAGGTTCGATATTTGGGCAAACGGAGAGAATGGGACCAAAAATGACGGGGTTTGTGTGAAGCCGTATCCTCTGGTAACTACTCATACCGAACCCTGGAAAGATTCGGAAACAAATCCGCTCATTTTACGTGTAACCGCTGGCCGAATGAATCATTCCATATTGTTAACTCATCGCAATCTGGACTGGTTTTACTATGACAAAAGTCGAGGCTGTCCGTATGCTCCGAACAAGTGTATAAGAAGGTATCCCAAGCCTTTAGAGGACAAATTTAATTGCTTTCTCTTACGAATCACTGAAACCAAGTCTTCCTAACGCACTCACTACAAGTGCATAATTTCGCCTATCAGAACGTCCGCTTCACACCATGTAATCTCTCATCTTGCTGGTTTTCTAGTTGATATCTCTATCCTGTGTAATAAGATCGTCTCTCGTCTGCTCTTGTAAAGTTGCGAACTGTAAAGTAGGATATTGTTGGCCTTCAAAAGAAGTCAACTATGTGTTTCGTCCCAGTTGAATGACTTAGGGTTTCTGTGACCGGACTGAACGTGTCACCATGGCTACAACTTTCACCGTGCACCGTCATTCTACGCGGCTCTCAACCGGTCACATTTCCTGCCAAATTTTACGCAGGTTCTAAGCTGTTACCCAATGGGACATGCACCGGATCCCGGTCATAATTCCTATTCAAAACATCAAATTTATGTGCATAAACTATTTGCACTTTAGGCAAGTCATTTTCAGGAATTGAAGATAAGTGGTAGCTTTTCGGACCGTTGAATGGAGCTTCCGAGGATCTAACAAAATTGGAAACTTAGGAGAGAATAAACATTTAGGGTGGGGATGCAAATTGTGGACTGGGCTATTTCGAAACAGCGACAAGTGGGACAAAACGGTTTGGTCACCTAGACGGTGGTCTTTCTACTCACCAAGAACGACTAACTCCGTCTTTCTCCGTAATAAAGGGTGGTTATTTGCTGGAACCGGTGTCACCTGACACTCATACTCTCCAGCATCTTCCAGCTGGACATCCATGATCTGAAGTGTGTGTTGGCCCCTTCCAACGTCACCAATGATACGATACCGGGGATAGCCAGGAAGAGAACGATCGTAACCTGAAATACGGACAAAATATTGGTAAAACGTCACCTGCTTCAAGTTATAGTCAAACTCTGGTCTGTTTTTCCTACTTAGAAACTAGTTTGCAGTAGCGATTATACTGCAGTGCTACGTAATTATCAAAACTAACCACAGACCAAAAACAAAGCAGTGTAATCGAGCTACCCGTATTCCGGAACACTGCCATAGTAAAGCTCTCAACCGTTAACAGCCCAATGAATCAGTCTGCTTTCTTCAAACTATGAACGAGACAAAGATGCATGCATAATGCACGAAATGGATGAACTTAATACAAATGAATATGTTTTGGTTGCCTTTTATGGCCTCTTGAGTCTATATTGTGTTTAGTTAGTCCTCTATTTCAAACTTTACCAAGGGTGAGTGGAACAAATTCTTTCACAGCTTTGCTAGAAAGGCGGAACTAAAAACGACTCAAAACCTCTGTTGTAGGTAAGTGCATGAAAATTTGAAAAATACTCAGTAAATCGATAACATGAACTTGATTTCAATGATAAAGAAAGTTGTTGAGTATTTCCCGAGGCCCCTTTTCACTTCGTCAACATCACAGGTATTTTAAATCTTCAGGCATATCTGTCTCACCCTTAAAAAGTGAGGCCTGCTTTTTCAGTCATTTATTGAAGTGCCCTCAGATACGATACTAAGAGTAGAAGAGGTACCTTCCGATGGCGATCGTCACGGTTATGTGCTTCAAAATGCAGTTGATCGGAAAACGAATCAGTTTCTTGCTATGTCGTGTCTTCTCAATCAATCTTTTAAGAAAGTTCAAGAACATAAGATTGCGCTGCAAAATTCAAAGTTTCCAGAGACATGGCGCCAAACGTGTGGAAGCAATTACAGGGTTGCAATTCTTATCTGGTGCATAGATCACATTGAATTTCTTACTTCTCACTAGGAGATCCTCAAGTGAAACCGAGTTAATTCAGTGACCACCACGAGGGCAAGCGATCAGCCAAAAGTAAGCGATAGTTGAGGACATTTGTGGGCTGGAACCAGTGATGACAAGAGAGCGCGCTAATTTCCCGAATAGTGTTTAATGGATGGTTCAAAAATTAACCGAGTTTGGGAAAACGAATATGACCATGCAGCCCAATCTCGTGGCCTCGTTCGTAAAGTTCCTTACGAACATCAAAAGACACGCACAGTATTTCGTCAGCACTGTTGACCAAAACACTTTTACAGGCGTTTTAACTCTGCTCAAACGTTGTGTTACTTGCTGTAAAATCAGACGGAGGCTGGAAGCACGACCCGTACGGCCAGGTCTATCAACTTAAGCGTCCTCAGAATTAAGAGGAGATTGGTTTGTATCGACCAGAGTTAATTCATACAAACAGTCTCGCGATGATAAACCAAAGCCCAGAAAGACGCTAATATTGCAACTAACAGGAATTGGAACATCTGCAGGAGTATGACCCAAAATGTTTCCAGGGATCATCCTTCTGGATAGATCGGACTACATAGAAAAACGAATGCATTCCCTCCAACCACTTCAATATGCAAAGGGTTGCACAGGAGTGGGACAAAATGCAAACCTGTGAAAAAGTTATTTTTGGAGTTTTATGTCATACAACCTACACCGAAATGCTTGATGCCTGCAGCTTACTGTCAGTACAGTGCGCAGAATGTGTTGACCCCTGAGACGTTATCTCTAACTCGTCAAATCATCTTAGCATTCGTATGTGAAGAAGCCTACTGGTGCAATCATGTTATTCAGGCATGGATTGACAATCCACAAACTCAAGGACACTTAAAATTTTCAATCAGACTAAGGATTACTGTTTGTCTAAAACAAACACACGAATGTGCCACTGAAGAAAATGGTGGACATTTTTCGTTATGTCGTTAAGCGCAGTGGTTAATGTGTTTGCATTCATGCATTAACACCTGAACAGCTACCGCTGTTCTGTACACAAAACGTTGAATTCTGATTCCATGACAAAAATTTCCCATGGGAAGTTGGGGAGGCGATAGGATACTTACTTGGTCCTAGTCTGTCGGATAAATTTATAAGTAACTTGTAGGGTAATACACTTGAGCCAGTCACTGGACAGTTCTGATTCTGTCAACAATATGTTGATGATTCATTCCTCGTACCAGGTAACCATATACAACGGAATGATAAAACATTTTTTCAACTCAATCCATCCAAATATCATCTCGATGGGACAGACAGTTGACTGGTTTCTTAACTTTTTGGGTCTTTGTATGTAGCAAAGGGAGGATGAAAGAACGCACTGAAATGTTTGCTGCAGAGATACTCGGACTAAATATTAAGAACATTCTTCGAGTTCTCCTCCCTTCAAATTGTCTCCCTAGGGGAGCTGTAATGACCCATTCTAGTGAATGTTTAAGGCAGGACTCAGATCCTCGAAAGAGGCGTTTGTGCAGAACGGATCTGTGGAGCTGCATGTGAGACTGCCAATCACATTGGCCAGCTCCACCCAAGAGTACGCGTACGTTAATCTAAGACGGACGCAGCTTCTTAACGCCTAAGTTTGTTTCAGTGGAACATTGTCTTCACTGATAGCAGTACCAGACATAAATAATGGAGCTATTTAGAATCCAGCTTCCTCATAGGTTAGAGAAGGATTTTCAAGAATGCTACCTATGGGATTTTGTTGACTAAATCTTACCAGGCGTTAATACTGTTGTAACCAAGCAACATCCGTGCATTTTGGCCTGTTATATGTCTATCAGTAAACCACACATGGCGACATATTGATTAGGGATCCGCTGCAGCACTCGGTCATGTCCTTCGTTTGGCAACTTTATTATAAACTTGAGACTATTTGGGCTAGGTACGACCTTTAAGCCTTACTAAACCGGCGACTAGTCGTTTCAACAAATGTTACCGAATAATTTCTCATTGGTTTAGCTAAATCCAAACTGAAAAAGACGTTGAAAATTTGGCTACATGTATCGTGCAGTAACTAGTTGCATAATTGGCATTGTCATTATTGACATGCACTGGGCTCGCACGATTGAGAAACTCCAGATTGATTCGCAGTTGCCCTGGGTTGAATGACCTTGTTTACAGTGGTTAAGTACCTGTGCCTGCCGTGCTTCCTATTCAGTGGTTACGCAAGTATTAATTTACCATCTATAACAAATTCTTGGCTCTCGTGCTCCGAAGATATAAGTTCAGTTGTGCAGCAGATCTACGCTGGATTCTAGGTGCCAGGTTTTGAAACATTCCAAGAAAGGCGAAATGATAAAGCTCGAAACTTCGTTAGTACAGACGACAAAAGCTTACAATACAACATATCTGTCTGGCGCCAATCTCCCAAGTGCAATACTGGACTAAGCGATATGGTATAGGTGTGCACACCAGGTGAAGTATCCAAATACTTCGGGGAACCTGGACCTTTACACAATAATTCAAACGTTTTTCTCTGAGCAACCCGAAGTATAAACGAGGTTTCAATCCAAGCATCAGCCACAATTTGTATTTGCTGGAATGCATTCGCCGGGTTTGTCTTCAGTTACATATACGCACAATGGAAATAATGCAAAACCTTTGAAAGAAAACAGTTAGTGCGAAATATTAGCGCCAAACCCGAACTCCGGATATGATGTTTAATCCCACCAGTCGCTGAATAATTTAGAATGTCTTCTATTTATGCAAGCTAGAGAACGTTTTCTCTGATTAATTGCTGACCCTCGTGAATGACCAGTTAATTAACAAGTCATGAAATTTCGTTACACACCTTAAGATGAACGTGTGATGAGGCCCCGAAATTTTCAGTAACATCATCATTTTCGTCTCTTTTGAAAGTTCCTTCAACGTTTCTGATGAAGGTCACTACAGAGAGAGTAGTCCAATACCCAAGGCACTTTTGGATCTGGCAGTGTCTTCAAAGTGAAACAGAACTCTTCGGCTAATACCAAATGAGTGATTCCCTGTCCAATCCAGGTCATCAATTCTTTAATAGTAATTTGTATCTGGCGATATGATATGTAGAAAAGGTGCTTTTTCCATGGTAGATTTTCGATCATTGGCTGTTACAGAACACGGTGGGGGACCTTTCTTCCACTTAAAATAATGCGTTTGGAAACGTTTTAGGAGGGAGGCAGCAGCTTTCCAATACAGCTGATTTTATCCGGCTCTTTCTAACAAAAATTGTATGATAATGAACTGCCATTCGTTCTTGCATTAGTTAAATAAACACCGGCGACTTCGCACTACCCTGATTTACTTTTGATGGGCACTCAACCAGGGCAATCATATAGGCAGTCAAATAACGAAACTTCTACAGAAACGCGTGATTATCTGTTCATCAGAAAGCGCATCAAAATAAAATGTGTTCATTTTGACCGCAAGAACTGAACATTTAGTATTTCTCAAGGTTCAGCCTCACAATCCGTCTACATTACATGGAATTTTAGAGCGCATTTTCAGCACCTGAATTATCAACATTATCGTCCATTGTTAACCATGGTTGTGTAGCGTTTATTCATTCGCTTGAATAACAGTTTGTCTACTCGGTTAAACACGTTGGACATGCGCCACTTAGCTAATTATTGTGATTCAGGTTTACTGGAAATGTCGAATATAGTTTAGTAAGTGAAGCTGAAACCAGATGGAGTTACAGCCGCTTTTCCTAAGAAGACCTTTTGAAGGCATCAACAAAAGCAGTTTCTTCTGTATCAGATAGTTTTTGGGAAGATACTGCTTATGGAAATGTGCTCAGATAGACCTCCAAAAACTGAACGTTTATAAGAGCTGAGTTCCTTATGAGTATACGTTTCTAGCCTTTAGGTAGTTCCGCCACTAAAAATTTGCCATAATTGTGTGCGTGATTCATAGTGAAATGGGGTTTGAACCAGAGAGTGTGTACAAAAACACTGTTTATTGTGGTGCCTTAATGTTAGTCAGTACAGTCGCAAAAGGGAATATACTCTTTAGGAAATCCACCATCTGAGGAATTTTTGCTTACACAGGACATACGTGCAAGACAATACCCGATAGTGGTAATTA